GGGCTGTTTGGTTCGTTTCCTTGATATAGAGAAATGCAATTCCATATAAAGAAATACAAGTTTTGAGTTTTCCAAACTTTTTCAAGAAATAGATTGTTTTGCTTTGGTTCGCACATAAAAAATGGTGGGAAACCAATGTATTTATTTTTCTTGTGTTTGGTTCGCATAGAAAAAAAAAGAAAACTTTTGTAAACAAAGCAGAGAAGGAAAAAAATCTGACGTGGCAGAGTTTTCATCAATTTCACTTGGTTGGGGAAGGAAATCGGAGAGGGAAAAAAATCTTAGTTGGCGGCGATTTCAGCAGACTTTTCCCTCTTCCATTCGAGCGAACCAAAGCGGCACAAAGAAATGGACGGAAACAAAAAAGCTGACGTGCCTCTTCCATTCGAGCGAACCAAAGCGGCACAAAGAAATGGACGGAAACAAAAAAGCTGACGTGAAGGACTAAAAATCTGACGTGGAGAGGTTTTCTGAGTTTTCCACCCCTTATAATAGCGAACCAAACAGCCCCTTAGAGAAAATGAAAGGACATGTAAAAAACCTTAATCAGTATGTGTGTATGTACACACACGTTTAGAAATTACTAGTTTTTACACACGTGCAATGCGCGTGATTTAATACCATGATTAAGTATTTTTGGCAGTTTGTGTTCATTTTTTTCTTTAAACTCTTACATCCCGATTATTTTTTTATGTTTGTTAAAATAGGATACACCCAATTTAAATTTTCATGTTGATATTTGAATTGACAAAAAACAAATATAATTTAAAAATAATTTTAATTTTCATATTATTTTTGACCGATATGAAACTAAGCTTTATTTGAGAAAGTATAGCATTGCAAAGTGAAAAATATTAAAATAGTGTTATACAAGGAAGGTGAATATTTAAAACCAATATGGCAAAATGATTGATTTAAAGTATGTTAAAACGATACAAAAGAGAATATGAAGTTTATTCCTAATCATTGATAGACTTCATAAAAAAATATAAATTAAAGATTAATGCTAACTCTAGTATACTTTTATATGATAAAAACATCCACATAAAAATATAAAAGTACTGAAAAAAATTTCATGAAACTCCCTTCTAAAGATTCCTAATTTCACTCAAAATAATTAAACTATTCTATAAAATATTCATAAAATATTGTTTTTATTTTTTCTATTTTATTTTTTATTGAGTTAAGATCAATCCTTCTTTTTTGGTCAATGAGAATTATTTTTCATTCAAACCAAAATGAGAGTTATGTACATCAAGTTCTCATATTTGAGAAATCTAAAAACAAATGAAATCACTTACAGCCTAGGGAAACTCCACAGAACAAATCAATATCTACAAAGAAATAACCCAATCCCTGTTTTCTGATTGAATAGGACTATTAAGGACTGGGATTAATATGTCCATCTTAATATCATTTACCAGCTGTTCGATCCCTTTTGAAGTCTGGGAGAAAATCCTGGCATTTCTCTCACACCATATTTTGTAAAGAGTAACCGAAAAAGCCATCCTCTTGATACCCTTCTTGAATCCTCTACCCCTTAAACAATTGTTAAACCAATCCATTAGATGGCTCCAACTACAAGATCTCCATTTAAACTTGAGCCAACACATAATCCTGCACCAGACATTCTGTGAATACTCACAGTCAAAAAATAGGTGATCGCGATTCTCAGGTCCTGCTCCTTGACATAAACAGCAACTATTCGATTGAATAATTCCCATCATCAATAATCTGTCTTGAGTCAATAGCCTATTCTGAACAGCAAGCCAGCAGATAAACGAGTGCTTGGGGTAGTTCATTTTCTCCCATACAGTGTTAAACCATGGAACTTGAGGAACAGTGGGGGATAAAGCTTCATACAGGAATGTAGTTATTTCTCTTATTTTTCATATTAAAGTTTTTAGATAACTTGAAACCAATTAATATCATTTAGGAGGTTTCTATGGATATATATATACCTCTCAAACAATAGTTATATTTTTAAAATTATCATGTAAATTCATGATTGATATTTTACCTAGCAATTTGTAGCGATGTGTTCAATGATCGCCCTTTTCTTTTCTTTTCTTTTTATTTTTCTTCCTTTTTTTTCAATTATCATGTAGTTACGTCTCTGTTCATCTTTGCCTGATGATCTGCGATTAGGTCCTCCTCAACTTTTCTTGCTGCCACGTTTCTTGTTTCCCACATTCTAAAAATGATTAAAAACCGGGTCCAACTATTTACACTCCCAAATAGTAACTTTGGGAGTGTAAATGGACTAAATTGCCCTTCTCTTTGTGGGTAATTAATTGCTCTGTCTTTGTGGGTAATTAATTGTTCAGTTCCATCAATGCACAATTAATTGCTCTGTCTTTTTTCGTGTCCGGTGGGTTATAATTTTTTTTTTAATTTTGTTTTATTAACTAATTCTATTTTAATTGTGCATTTTAATTATTGGATTTGGAACTATATCGTTAATTGATTTTTTATGAAAACTATTAATGATTTTTATTTGTTGCAAATGCCATCGATTTTTTGAAGCACACCAACAGGCAGGATGTAACAGGAAGTCCAGTATATTTGAACACCCAAGATGACACTTTTGATAACTTGTAATTTCCCCGCATATGACAGATTTTTAGATTTGGACCATAACTGAATTTGATTGCTGATTTTGTTAAGAAGAGGGTTGCAATCTGAGTATGATAATCTTTTGCAAACAAGAGGCATCCCCAAGTATCTAATAGGCAAGGAACCCTCAGCAATACCCAATAACTCTTTAATAGATATTTTAGTAGCTTCATTTACCCCACCAAAGAAAATATGACATTTATCTGAGTTTGGTTCCAGACCAGTAACAGAGCTAAAATCTTTCAAGCACTGATTGAGCTTAAGAACTGAATTCAGATCACCTTTGCTAAATAATAACAAATCATCAGCGAAGACCAGGTGGGAAATCTTGAGCTTTCTGCACATTGGATGAAAATTGAATTGCCTATCATTTTTCAACAGGTCCAAGCTCCTTGAGAGATACTCCATACCAAGGATAAATAGGTAGGGAGAAAGGGGATCCCCCTGCCTAAGGCCTCTTTTCCCTTTAAAATACCCATGTAGGGAGCCATTAAGGGAGATAGAATAAGATGGAGAGGTGATACAGGTCATTATCCAGTCCACCATTTTATTTGGAAACTGCAGACCCAGTAACATATCTTTTATAAAGGACCAACTGATAGTATCAAAAGCTTTTTTGATATCTATGCTGAGCATAACTCTTGGGGAAACTGATTTTCTGCCATAATTCTTGATCAATTCATGAGCCAGTAAAATGTTGTTGGTGATTTGCCTACCCTCAACAAATGCACTTTGAGCATCATTTACAATAGAACCCATAACTGTTCTAATCCTATTTGCTAGAATTTTAGATATGATTTTGTAAAGAACATTGCAACAAGAGATGGGTCTAAAATCTGAAGGAGAAGTAGGACTTTTGGTTTTAGGGATAAGTGAGATAGAAGTTGAGTTAACCATACCTAGCAACTTGCCAGTTCTGAAGAAATCCGCAATAGCTTGAGTAACTTCATCTCCAACAATACTCCAAGAAGATTTGAAAAATGTAGCACTGAAGCCATCTGGTCCAGGAGCTTTATTATCTGGCATGGAAAAAATAGCATTTCTGATTTCATCATTAGTGATTGAGGCAATCAGAGAACTGGCCTGAGAATCATCCAGACATGGCCCTGAGTGAATAATATTGATATTTGGAGAAGTAGTATCCACTGCAGTCCCCATCAGGTTTTTAAAATGAGATATAAACTCGTTAACAATATCATCACCTTCTGTTAGTCTTTGTCCCAAGTTATTGTATAGAATCATAACTCTGTTTTGATGCCTATTAGCTTTTATCATTGAATGGAACAGTTCAGTACATCTGTCACCTTGTATACTCCAATCAGTTCTTGCTTTTTGCTTGTAGAAGGATAATTCACAATCCATTAAGGTGTTGTATTTAGATATACAGACCTTTTCCTGTTTAATAAACTCAGGAGACATTGGGTCAGATTGTAAATTTTTTTGCACATCCTCCAGAGCTTGCTTTGCATGATAAACCTGTTCACTGATATTATAGAAGAATTTCTTATTTATTTCCTTCAGAGCAATGTTCAAAGTTTTCAATTTAGAGCAAACTGAGAACATGGTACATCCTTTGACCCTTTGCTGCCAGATATTTGCTACTGTGGGGAGGAAACAAGCATGTTTAGTCCACATCTTAAAAAATTTGAAAGGTCTCTTGCCCTGATAGCTGTCTTCACTGACTGTAATGATCCCAGGGGAATGATCTGAAATTTTTGGTAATAAAAATTCCACTTGGCTAGAATTGTAATTATGAATCCAATTATCATTTGTCAAAACTCTATCCAATCTACTCCAAATCCTTGATCCATGATCCTGTTTGTTGTTCCAAGTATAAAAACATCCAATGTTTTTCAAATGTTCCAACTGACAATCATTAATGAAGTTTCTGAAATCCTCAGTTTCAGAATCTTGAAGAACACTACCTCCAATTTTCTCTTCATTGCTAATAATAGCATTAAAATCCCCAAATAAGAGCCAAGGAGTATTTCCAACAGTTTGATGGATAGACTTTAATTCTGACCACAATTCTTTCCTTTTTTCAATTTGATTGAAGCCATAGATAGATGAGATTATACAGTCTAGTTTACCATCAAGAGATTTCACTGTGCATGTGATACATTGGTCAGAAGAACTGAACAGTTGTATATTTAACATATTTGGATTCCATAGGATAATAATTCTGGCTTTACCAGGACTTCTAACATTTGACAACCAGCTCCAGTCTTTAGCAATAAACCTGATAGTTTTTGATAATAGGGAATCTTTGATCTTTGTTTCCAGTAAAGCAATAAAAGAGATATGATATTGCCATAAGTGGTGCTTAACAATTTTTTGCTTTGAGGGTCTATTCAGCCCCCTCACATTCCAGAAAGATAGGTTCATCAGTTGAAAGCACCCCCTCTATCCACTGTAGAAGGGTCCAAATCAAAAAGCTCAAGTTGGGAGAACTGATTCTCTGGAGTAAACTTTTTCCTCTGTTTATTACCTTGAACTAAAGTCCAAGAGTTGTTAGAATAGGGAGAATGAAAAGCACCTTCAGAAACTGTCTGCTGTGCATGTGCACCATGCACCAGACTGTGCACCCCTCTTAAACCAGAGAACTGAGGAATGTTTTCAATTCTGCTTATTTGCACTTCTTGTTCATCACGAAGAGAATTCTTAGGGGACAATTCTTTCACTGTCATTTGCTTTTCAAACCTTTCTTGCATTTTAGTATCCTGAGTTTTTTGCACTGACAGGTCTATGGTGGAAGCATTCCCATCTGGCCTTTGTAATACCGAATTAAGAATATGCACTGATTTATTTGGAAGAGCAGTGGAGGATGATGTTTGAATATTTGGAATATTTTCCTTTAATCTAGGATCCTGTACAGAAGTCTTCTGAGTATTCTGGACTGTAGAAGTTTTAGGAACCCATCTCTGAACTCCTGTATTTCTCTTGCAAAACAAGGTATCATGCCCCACTAATTTGCAATGATTACACCATCTAGGCTTTAGCTCATCTTGCAAAACAAGGTATCATGCCCCACTAATTTGCAATGATTACACCATCTAGGCTTTAGCTCATATAATATCTTTTGATTAAAAGATTTACCATCTGGACCCTTCAGTGTGATAAAATCTGGAAGAGGAGCTGGCATATCCACTTCAATAAGAACTCTAGCATAAGCTAATCTTTGCTTATTAGCTGTGAGTTTATCTGTGGTGATTGGACGACCTACAGCACTTGCAATTTTGCTTATACTTTGTGCATTCCACAAGTTGAGCTTCAAAGCTGGCAGCTGAATCCAAACAGGGTATAAACAGCTATTAATTTTTTCATAGTCCTCACCAATTGACCAAGGCTTTAAAGAAAGTGGTCTAGATCCAAAAAACCAAGGGCCTTTTTCTAATATATCACTCATCTCATCTTTGTTGTTGAATTTGAATAAGAATATTCCAGGTTTTAGAAGGAAAACATCTGGATTGGCAGAATTAGCCCAAACTTTCTTAACATAAGTCTCCATCGCCTTGAATCTGACATTCAATCCAAGAACCTGACCAACTAGAGAAAATTACCACATAGAAATTCCTTCATTCCACTCCTCATCATTAAAAGAGACAATATCTTTTGTGTCAGGAGGTAAAAATTTCAACGGCAATCCACAGCCTGTTTTTCTGTTGTCAACAAATAGACTTGACCAGCTCTTCTTATCAGAGATTTGAACAGGTTCAGATTTATTTGATTCCTCAGTAACCAAATTTTTAACTTCAATTTTACTCTTATCATGTGATTCCGAAGAAGCAGATTCAATGAGTGAAATCAGATTCTTAGATTTAGCCTGATCAAGAACAGAATTCTCTTTCTGAAGGCTTTTTTGTGGATCAATAGTTTTAGGTAAAATCATGACTGATTGCTGATAAGAAGATTCAAATTCTACTTTATCTGCCCAAGAAATCTTACCAGAACCGCTGGCACCTGAATTCAAGAACGGAGAGTGACTCTCTTTTTATAATTTGAACTTTTGAATGTGTTTCTATAATTTTTGAGATATTGAGGGTGTTAATTAAAAAATTTAAATTTAAATGTCAAAAATTTTAGGTGTATCATGGTAATCTCTTGAATTCATCTGTGTTGTTTGTAAGTTTTAAAATTTTAGAATTTTAATGTGCTTGTCTGTAATTTAAACTTTTGAGGGTGTTTCTATAATTTTTGAGACATTGAGGTGTTAACTGTAAATTTTAAATTCTTTGCAAACTGATGTTAATTTTTTAATTTCATGTTTTTATTTTAAGTTTTGAGACATTTGGATGAGTTTTATAATTTTGAACTTTTCAGGATCTTTTCTGCAATTTTAAAACTTTTTATGGTTTTTTTTGCAATACTTCATGTATTATAATATGTTATCTACTTGTAATTTTTTTATCTTAACAAACTAATATCATTTTTATGTTTTATATATTTTATTAATATTAGTTTTTTTAAATTGTTAAGCTAAACATGGTTCACATAGGATTAGGATAAGATATGATTATGATTAGGATAGATTAAGATATAAATAAAATATTCAAAATAGTGAAGGGTAATATTGACCATTGAAAATTAGAATTTGATTATAGATAAGGTAGTTCAAACTATAAAGGGGTATATTTGTCTAAAAAAGATTTTCCGAACTCGTGCTTTTAAAGGGAGTATGATTATATTATGTGTACTACGTACATAGATAAAAAGACACTGATCTTATAGCTTATTAACTGAAAGAGGGGAAATGAATTTATATGCACGTTAACATGGAAATTCATAAAAAATTTAAAAAATGCTGACTTATATTTTTATTGATTTAAAAATGATCATGCTATTTTTATTGCTTTAGAAATGATTATGCGCTCAAGATTGTTGTTTGATTTCTTTATTTTTAATTAAAAAGGGGGAGATGAATTTATATACACACTAAATCTACAGAATAATTTCCTTTTGATCAAGCATTAAATGTCTACGGATACATAGAATGTGGTAAATCGTGGAGAAATTTTAGGAGAGCATCCAAAATATTTGGAAACTTAAATCGCATTCATGCGTAAATGATCTGATCATGTGTGATGTGTGCATATCCATTCAGAAGGACATAAGATGTTTATATAATGTAATGGCATAATACCTTTCACGAAAAGAATTAGCATTGTATGAAAGGGATCCAGAAGTTATTATTCCGATGATTATCTATTTATTGCACTATAAATGGTTAAAATGTATTTTATCCAGGCTAATATCCAGCTTGGATCCAAGAAGTGAACTGTTGGGATTTTATCTTTGATTCTTTGTGTAACTTCATGAGAATTAGATAGGGTTAGAGTTCTATCATGATTAGGAGTTTGGGTTCTATCATGATTAGGAGTTTGAGTTCTATCATGATTAGGAGTTTGAATCCTATTCTAATTAGGAAGTTAGGCTACAGATAGGGTTTTGGTTTCTCTATATATATTCTTCTATTGGTGGAGAAAAAACCATGAAGAAAAAGTAGAGATGTAGTAGATGAGAGAGAGAGGGTTTCGTAGTCTTTATCCGTGCAAAAGATTACAAGGAGTGGGCTTTGGAGAGAATGTGAGAGTTGATTATGTATGTGAGGTTGAGAGATTAAGAGACGAGAGTTGAGTGGTTCCTCTTGTAGTTCTCCCTAATACATAGTGAATTTCTAGTATTGTTGCCCCGTGGACGTAGGTCGAATTTTGGTCGACCGAACCAGGTAAATCTCGATATTCTTTTTCTTGATTATGGTTGTTCTATCTTATTGATTGGGGTTGGCTTCCGAGTTGCGCATATCGTGGTAGGCGGGGAGACTGAAATTCCCCAACATGAACGCCCATGAGCTAAACACTTCAAATATGCCCAAACTTGAGCCCACAACAAGCTGTAGTGAAATTCGCCTAACAATGCATACAAACCTTACCATGCAGCTCATTTTCAACTCGATCCGACCAAGTCAAGAATGAGTCGACTCCCAATTCACACCCCATGCCGAGCCAAAAGGCATCAGTAGTCGGCTAAATCATGAATCGAGTTCGGTGTTAAATTCAAGCTCATAGATGAAGTTCGCCAATCAACGAACTTCGCTCATAAACAATCCAAGTGGGCCACGACTATCCATGACTTCAAAGAAGTCTAACCCACATTTAAACAAAGCTAACCCACGACTATCTGACGAAACGACCCGAGCCCGGGCTTGGAACCCGTTTTGGCCCAGGTTTCCGGGCCAAACTCGGGCCCAGTCGGTTAGGGATAGGCACCGGGCCGGGTCAAGGACGGGCACTAGGTCGGGCCCGGGCCTCAGGCCTAATTGGACAAGCCTATCAAATACACACATTGTAATATTATTTAAATGAATCATCCACTCCCAGCTTCCTTTGTGGAACTGGGTCTGACATTGTACTCAGTTACATGACCGGGTTATCCTTAAGAATATTACATATAAAAATTCTCCAGGAACTTCCCGTCAACGGTAGGAAACAATTTAAACTCATATACCTATTGGAGTATTAAGAAGCAGTTTATACTCGTATACTTGTCGGAGTGTCAGAAGAAGCAGTTTATACTCTTATACTCTTATACTCTTCGGAGTGTCGCCATTCCCATTTAGCTTATCCCAGCGTTATGACGCCAGCTTCAACCAAGGTTTGGATGCTATTCTTGAGAGTAAAGTAATCCTTGATGGGATGAAGGACCCTCCAGCGGTACGCACAGTATTTTGGATCCGTAGTATTGTTAGCTTCCTCCTGATTTGTGATAGGTGGTAGCTTGATCTTGTTGTTTTCAAGGAGGGATTCGAAGATGGCGGGAACGTCTTCATCCTTGAAAGATGATAATCACATTTTATTACAATTTTATACCATCATTATCTATTTTACATGAATAAATATACCATTAATAATTATTGTTAGCTTAGTTTTCACATAATTGAATGAAAATATAAATAAATATTATTAAATATAAAAACCCCTAAAAATCTCTCTTCTCTATTTTGTAGCATTTTAGAAGCCTAGAAGCCCAAGCTTAAAAGAGGAAAAGAACTTGAAAGCCCAAAGCCCATCAAAAAGAATACACCAAATGAAGAAGAGCTCCATGGGCCAGATTTTTTTTCTCAAATGAATTGCATTTTTTTTCCAAATGCATAGGACCTGCTGAAGACCGGCTGCTGTACTTGGATGCAAAGGAATGGGCCGAATTTGTGAAATTGGCTTTTAATTGACTCAAATGGGCCAAACCTTCATTTTCTTTCATCAAATGAAGCATGAAGAATTTGATTTGCTGCAGTTGGATTTCATCAATTGGGCCGGACTTGCTGCTGATTATTCTCTCCATGGACCGGATTTTTGGGCTGCAGAGCATTGATTTTGTTTTGAAAATAAAATGAAGCTTCATGGACCAAAAATGTTGGCTTTGCTGGACTTTGGATTGATGGGCTTGGCTGCATTTTCATGATGGGCCGGCTGTGCTTCATTTTCAGTTTAGAAAATCAAATGAAGAACTTATTTGCTGCTGATATAGTTGGACCGGACTGTGTTGTAGAATTTAGACTTGAAAATCAAATGAAACTTCATGGACCTGGACTGCTGGAATTAAAATCAATGGACTGGACTTGTTGCACTTGATTTTTATTTTCTTTTGAAAATCATATGGGCTTCCTATATTTGGGCTAGAGAAGAAAAAAAGCAAATTCAAAGGTGGAGATTGTTGCTTGGGGCTTAAGACAAAGCCAATGGCTCATATTCATTGAAGATTACTATAAATAGGGGTAGAGAGTGAGGGGTTAAGGGTGTGAAAATATTTATAACTCCTTTTGGAGAGAAGGGCTACTCTTAATTGAGAAGGCCTTTCAAAATTGTAACATTTGTTGTAATTAATAATAATAATTTTTTCACCACTTTAAATTTTTCTCTTCTTCTCTTTGTTGAATGATGAAGATGAAGATGAAGATGAAGATGGAGAATTATTTGAAGGTTTGCATTTCTTTTTTTTCTCTTTTATTGCTTATTAGTGTAGATTTATTTATATGCTTATAGTTTAGATTTTATTTTCTTGTTAAATAGCCAAGAGGCTAGAACCCTCTTGCCTTAGATTTATTTCATGCTTATATAATAGATTTATTTTCTTATATTTAATTCTTGCAAATTTACTTTGTAGTTTAGATTTTACAATTTATTTTGTAGTTAGATTTTAATTTCTTGCACTATTCACCTTGAGGCTAGAACCCTCTTGTGTTTAGTTTTTCTTTTTGTTTATTTTTACTTTCTTTGATTCACCTTTAGGCTAGAACCCTCTAGGGAATCACCCTTTTTTAAGAAGTGGGTTCAATTTTAGATTACCCATATCTATAATTGAATCCATCATCTTTAATTTCTTGCATTTTCTTTTATTCTAGAATTTTGTTCTTCATTCTTGATTTTTTATTTGTTTCTTGATTTTATTCATTTTTTCCTTCTCACCTTATTGAGCATACTCATTTTTTTTTTCAAATCCACTCTCACTTAC